ACAGATTGCCACCTATTTGGCAGATGTGTATTTATGTGTACAGATTAAAAGTGGATCCAAATTTTAGAAGACTGCGCACTTGGCTGTCAATGGTAAGGAACAAGGCTGTCAAGGGTTAGTAAACAAACAATGTTGTTGGAAGGAAATATTATTATTTTCCATGTCTATTTGCTCACTGGTTCTCTGCTGGGCAAACAAGCAGGTGGTAGGAAACAACACGAGAAAGAATAGGAGAGCGGGGAGCTGGTGACAAAGGTAGTGATGGAATAACCTTGTTGACTGAGGGTGTACCGCCACAGCCCACCCAATCCTATCCCAAAGGTGGAAATAATACAGGAATTGTCATGGAACCCCTCCCATCTTAGCAGAGGTTAGGCAGATCTTGGTCCAAATTTTGAGGATCCACGGACATATGGCCTACATTGCCCCTTTCTGTGCCAACCTCTTAATGCCCTCTGTCACTTTAGGTCCCTTGGTGATGATGGCACTGCAACATAGAGCTTGGATGCAATTTGTTACAAACAACCTAATTAACTCTAATTTGGGGGTAACAAGTCACATGACTAGAATTTGAGAAGTCACTTTTTAAGTGTAAATGATGGCAACAAGGCTAACACAAAAAAGTTCCCTTTAAAATGAAAAGTTCTAGGTTTTTTCTGCTATAGCTGCCAAGATCTCCCCACCCTAATCTCTCACACAGGAACTGTAACAGTACAGGGGCAAAAGTTCTGCTCTGCTCCAAGCCCACAATGTTAAGTTTTCCTCCAGACATCTCCACCAAATGAGGTGAAATGAGGGACTACAAGAGAGAAGGCTGGTCATTTCATCTGCGGAATGTCCTTCCTAGAGAAGCTTGCCTAACTCATGGTCGTGGCATAGTCTTACCAATGCCAATGTACCTTTTTAGTATCTTGGGCATTTAAGAATGTTTCTTTACTGCTTATAGATATCACTTTTTCAGCTCACTGCTGTTTTCACTTTTGTGCTGCATTTTTTCAATTCACTGGTTGAGGAATTCTGGATGTTGTTATTCAAAACCTAAGGTTTCCAAGCACTATCTTCATGGCAACAAGCATTGGAAGGGCCTTGTAAGGTGTCTGGTTGACTGGGTCCTTTCGTGGTGTGTGGGTGTCAAACAACATCCCCCGTGCTAGATGTTAATACAGATGCCAACCAAATCCCAGACTGCAGAAAAGCAGAAAATATCCTATCAAAAGTTGATACTATCTACTATTTCATTTGTTTTGAAAGAATGCTCTGTTTCAGAAGTTGGATCCTTTGTCATCTGCCCCATTTTAAAAAAGGGTGTGTGTGTTAAATATGGATGACCTTTGTTACAGAAGGCAAATGAGAAGGTCCTACTGCTCTCTTATCCATCCATCCATCCATCCATCCAGGTGTGCATGTTAAATATGGATGACTTATGACCTTTGTTACAGAAGGTAAATGAGAAGGTCCTACTGCTCTCTTCTCCATCCATCCATCCATCCATCCATCCATCCATCCATCCATCCATCCATCCATCCATCCATCCATCCATCCATCCATCCATCCATCCATCCATCCATCCATCCATCCATCCATCCAGTCCCAGCCCCTGTATAGATGAGATGATCCCAATGATTGAAAAACCTGACTTAGGCTGGAGACGTACTCCCAGTACTCAGTCACAGCGCTGGTCAGGTTGGTGGTGTCATTCAGGGAATAGTTAGAGAAGCATCGGTCTGTGTTCCAGGGATTTCCACAGCTCTGCCATGGCAGCTCCTGGGGGTGGTGGAGAGAAAGGCTTAAAAGTAACATGCAATTTCATACATTGATTTTCTGTTTTTCAAGCAGCTGGCAAAGGTGGAGGGCACATATTTGGCAACTCCATCTCCTTCCCAAGACTCATGTGGCCACAGCTCCAGGTGCAATGTTTAAAAGCTTGCATCTTTTCTAAAAAACCAAAACCAAAACAAAACCATACTTTACAGTGCAATTCTATGCATGCCTGTTCAAAAGGAAATGCCACTGAATTCAGTGGACTTCTCACTTTTCAGGTGATTAAACAAAATAGTTTGCAATTATGTGCAGGACGATTTGGCAGGAGGTAAATTTCTTGATCAAACTGAGTCACTGTTGTCAGATGTTCTGGGCTTCTGTTGTATTTCAAACAAAAATAAACAGGGTTTCCTTCATAAAACAAAACTAGGTTAGTCCTATGATAGAAGACATGTTATGACAACCCTTTAATATTTTTAAATATTAAAGCACATTGGAGGGAACACTTTTAAGCAGGAAGACAACAAGAGGTGAAAGTCTTACCTGTGGATCCTTTTATGGAGAGAAAGGCAGCATATGATCCAAACCAGTGCAATGCAAGCAAAGCAAAACAAAATGATTCCGTCTTCTATGGCTGTTTAGTGTGGAAGAAGGCCAAAGAAATGTCCATACAACCGGCTCAAGTGATAGGCATGCAAATAGCTCTAAGATGAGGTTGTAGACTTATTTGATGCTCGCTCGCTTGCTTGCTTTCTAAATATTTGTTATCTTACCTTTCTCCTTAAAAGGACCCAAGGTGGCTTACATCATTAAAAGACAATATTAAAGCTGACAACAGTCAGTATACAAACTCTCAAAAAGATCAAACAACTACCATGCAAAAAAACATAAGCAACCTCAAAATGCATTCAAAGCAGTAAGGTACAAGAATCCATTTAAAAAACACATGCTGGCTCCCATTCACTCAGGGAAAGCCTGCCTGAAGAGAAAGGTCTTCACTCGCTTGCAGAAAGAGAGCAAAGATGGGGGTAACCTAGTCTCCTGTGGGAGAGAGTTCCAAAGTCTGGGAGCACCAGGTCCTTGTGGGGAAAGTAGGGGTCTTTGTGGATCAGTCCCACAAGCAAAAGACTGCAGCTTGCTCAAATACAGTCTGCTCTCTTCCCCTCCCTGTCAGCTTCCAGATAAGTTGGATGAGTTGCTGTGGTTCACGGGAAAACATCTAAGAACTTGTGGCACCTTAAAGTTTGCTCAATTTCATTTAGCACCACCTTTTACATGAGACTACGGAAACTGCATTCCGTGAGATGCGTATCTTTGCACCGAATCTTAGGCCAGGTAAAACTTGGAGACTGTTGTGTTTGTTGTGACAGAATAACACAACTACACCCTACACAAACACAAGTGGTGAATGACAAAAACAATGAGCAGATAAGATAGAAAAGCTCGCAGAGGTCTGGGAGATTCTCATGAAAGAGAAACTTCTATTTCATTGTACAATTATGGTTACTCAAGGACAAAGACTTGAATTAAAGTTCTGCAGGGGAATCTTCCCAACCCACTACAGTGAAATCTTTATACAAATGCGTACATTGTGTGTCTTTTTAAAAAGTAACATCAATAGAAGCTGCAGGTGTCTGGGGTAACTCTGGGGATTATCGACATATGCTTCAGAAGTGGCTAAACAATACAAACATCTTGGCAAGATGTTTGAGAACAGAGTCAAACAAAACAACAAATAAAATGGACAGAAGCACAGTACATTTCCAGCCTCCCAGCACTTGTGTGGATCTCTAAATGAAATGGAACCCCCTGGGCACAATAGACACAGATGCTTCCGAGGCATATTGATTGCTTAGAGAGTTTGCTCAAAGGAGCCCTTACAGTGATAACAATGGTCCAGCTGAGAAGGAAATGAATTATAGGCAGAGAGACCAGTTGGGGTTAGGCTGTTGTTCCTGCCCCCCCGCCCCAGTTTAGGAAATAATGCTTCTGCTGCTTTGAAAGATGGTCCCATCCCTGTATAGGGACGTGGTGGCGCTGTGGGCTAAACCGCAGAAGCCTGTGCTGCAGGGTCAGGAGACCAAGCAGCCGTAAGATCGAATCCACGTGACGGAGTGAGCTCCCGACGCTTGTCTCAGCTCCCGCCAACCTAGCGGTTCGAAAGCATGCAAATGCAAGTAGATAAATAGGGACCACTTCGGTGGGAAGGTAACAGCGTTCCGTGTCTAAGTCAAAGGAGCCCTTACAGTGATAACAATGGTCCAGCTGAGAAGGAAATGAATTATAGGCAGAGAGACCAGTTGGGGTTAGGCTGTTGTGCCTGCCCCCCCACCCCAGTTTAGGAACTAATGCTTCTGCTGCTTTGAAAGATGGTCGCATGCCTTTGACCATGGGTGATTCCAAGGGCATTTGGAATACTGGACAGAAATTGTCAAGGGGAACCTTTGCCTTTACCTTTACCTTACCCATGCCTTTAACCATGGGTGATTCCAAGGGCATTTGGAATTCAGCTGAGGGCTAGCAGTGGAGTAAATAAAGTAGTTGGGGCTAGAGTGAATGCTGAAGTTAGGGATCCATGTACACACACGTTATTGATTGCAGGAACTAAGGCAATGAAACTTTTCCCCAGGGCATGACAATTTAGAGGTTGCCCAAATTGAGAAGTGACTCTACTGGTGAATGTTAGGAAAAGAATACTTCCTAGGCCAATAGTTCCCAAGTTTGAGTCCCCAGATGTTCTTGGACTAAAACTCCCAGAAGCCGTCCTTCGCCACAAGCTGTGCTGGCTAGGGTTGCTGGGAGTTATAGTCCAAGATCTGGGGACCCAAGGTTGGAAAGCACTGTTCTAGCCCTATCCATTTTTTTCTGATTTTGGAACCAACCACTTCTTTAATTTTTGCATCGCATTCTCCTCTCCCTTTTTCCTGATGGCCTTTGCCTTAGTGGCAGAGTGCGTCGAGACAGCACTGCTTGGCCCAGGAACCAAAGTAGTTCTGCTTGAATGTCCTAAACCTGCAGAGAATGTTAGTGTCCCCTTTCCACCAGGCACGGCCAACCCTCTGATAAACAGAGTAGCTTACATCTCCTTTTCAGCACCATTCACGGTTCACCAAGACCATTTCGACCCCCGCTCTCCCGGTGAATTATACTGAGTGGGACAAATGAATATGCCAGTGGCATAAAGTGGTAGATTTTTTGGGGGGAGAGGGAGCATTTTTGTCCCAGCTAATTTTTGCAAAGCAAGTGACCCCAATCTGGGAACAATGACTCTTCGGGCAAAAATATGTTGGAGCTTGATGTAAATCTAGTTCTATGCGAATTCTGCAACAAAACACGGCAAATAAACTGTGGCAGGTGCCAAAGGCCACTCCACTGGATCATCTTTAACAAAGGACTGTGCTCCTGAAACTATCCTTAAAACAAAGGATTCTGCCCTCTGGAAGGTAGGTCAGTCACATCATGATCCCACCTCACAGCCTTCATCTTTGAACCAGGGCTGAATCTGCTGTTAGTAGAAGGAGGCCATGCCTTCAGCTGTCAGATTCTGCAACAGGCCACAAAGTGGCAGGAGGAATGGGCCCTATAATATACAAACACTTCACCTTGTTTACTCTGAACTGAGCTGCTGCCTTTGGACATGGTGAAGGACATTGTTTCATTGCCAGTGTTGGAAAAACCACCACAACTCTGTCATTTCCTCCCCTACCTCCAACCCCATGGAAGGGGTAGCCAAGACTCACCACAGTGAAAGAGTTGAAGAGATAGTACAGCGCCCAGGCAATGATGACAATGTAGTAGATATTCAGCCAAAAAGAGAGAACCACCGCAGCCAGGCCGACGCCTGTGGGACAAGAAACATGGCGAATCACAAAAGGCAACGCGTCAAGGCCACCAAAGTTCTGCTGAATAAATGAGTGGCGGTATAGTTTGGAAGTGTGTCTAGTTTTGGGGTGTGTGTGTGTGTTACAACTCCTGGAATTCCATAGGCAGCACAGCTACAGCCACTGCTAGCCGAAGATTCCAAGAACTGTAATCCAAAAAGTAACTTTTTCAAGCTGTGGGTGCCAGCAAAACGAGTCCTGAGTGGCAGTGACTTGAAAGGCTGGCCTTGTCTTGGTCAATGCAGTTAGCTTAAAGTTTATTGTCAAGGGAATGAGTTACAAGTGTTTATCCAGAATCCTTTGGATTCTTGGTGATCCCTTTGCAGAACAAAAACCTCTGGGTAGGAATTGTGTTTTAAAGCAAAGCAAAATGTGCTGCTCATATATACCACCCCATAATACTTAAATCTCTCTCTGGCCAGTTTATAACTTTATTCCTCAGACTACACATTGCTACCGCCAGCTAGCTGGGCACTCAGTTTTCTTATCTCAGAAGGTTGAGTCAAACCTGTGCAGCTACCTGAGCCTAGGATAGAACTCGGGTCATGAGCAGAGTCTTCACTGCAGTACTGCAGTTTAACCACTCTGCCACAAGATTTTGTCTGTTGTCACAGTCCTCAGGTCAGGGGCTCCCTTTCCTGCTACTCTGCCACACTACTCTCTTGTCTTCGGGGTTGGGTGGGGAGATAAGCCCATGGAGAGGCAGTTGTGGCGACGATGACTTTAACCCCTGCCTGACGAAGAATTAACTGGAGAGGGGCAGGGCTCGAACAGTTTGAATGTCTACTCTCAGGAAAACTTATAACAAACAGCAGAATCTCTTGTTGTTATATAGCTTCCAATGTTATTGCTATAACCCTGTGAAGTTTAGGTTTCTTGCTGAACAACAGTGCATCTCTACATCTAGACTATACATGAAAGAAGACTCATTAAAAGGTGAGATTGCCAAAAATTGCTCACAGAAGCTGTGTGATTTGAGGAATCTCTTCACGCTTTCACATCACAACTCCCACCATCCCTCAGAGCTAACTCTTGTGGCGAAGGCTTGTGGGAAATGCAGACCAATACCCTCTCCTTATCCCTGCTTTGTGGTCTCCTATGGACTCATAGTACCTTTGAACATAGGCGCTAGTTTCCAGACACCGAGTCCACCAATGGACGTGTATTGTCCAAGAGCTGTTTCCAGCAGGAAAAGTGGGATCCCAGCAAACACCAGAGTCAGAAAATAAGGAATCAGGAAGGCACCTAGAGAGAAGAAGAAAATGAAGAAGACCACATTTTACTACCTCTTTATTCCAAGCTGAAGAACCACTCCGGTTTTCATGATACCTAAGAAATTCATTGTAATTGTTTCGTCTGAGAATTCATCATTAGTTATTATTATCATTTCTCAACAACATAACAGCTTTTTAATTTGACTGCTTTTTTGTTCATTTATTTATGAATTATTTTGAATTATCTGCAATTGCCTCAACACCACAGCCTTTCACTGTTAGCATCTTTTACCACTTAGTATTGTCAGGTTATTTTGCTTTGCTTTGTTTGCAGTCAGCTGCAAGAATTAAAACAATGGTGTCACAAAACACTTAATATTGTGCTTTCCCATCTGGCAATGCCCAATCCCAGGGACAAGAACCTTTTATAATATTTACTTAGAAGACAATCCTGTTCAAGAAATGTATCTTTCTGTGCAGAGAAAGAAAAAGTTACTTTTGGGGGGATAATAGTAATCTTGCATGCACTAACACTGGGTATCAGATGGTGGGGTTTATAACTTCATGTGATAGTCCTTTTCCACTAATTTGATTGGCAAATTTATTTTTCCTGCCTCTGGCATTGGAGACAAGCCCATATCCCATCTTCCTGCTTGTGTACTTGCTTCCATTGTTCATTTTGTTGATAATCTTCGTCCTCTGACCTCCAGCCAAACAACAAGCATGGAGGTCTCTGTTTGCTAGACCATTTTTCCTTGTTTGATCCTTCTGACTGTAAATACAAGTGATCAGTGTAAGTAAAGATACCTTTTTTCCCAAGTGCTAATTTGTGCAGAAAAGAAACTAGAGGAAGGGTGGTGGATGAGACAGAACTGCTCTCTTCGTGTTTTCTGTGCTGCCATTTTTTTCTACCTCATACTTTGCCAATTAAGAGGAATAACCAAAATTCCCCTTTCCTTTTTTTTTGGGGGGGGGGAACAACGATGACTCCCAGTGTACCCCTGCCAGCACCCCCACCAGTGTACCAGGCTGGTGCTAGTATTCTGGGAGCTGTAGTCCAGCAAAATGACTTGTCGTATCTCTGTTCTAATGTGAATTGAATGTTCTGCTTTCCAGGTCTGTATCTTTCATTGCTTCTTGTTGAAAACAGCTAATGAATTACTGATAAATAGCCTGTTGATTTCCCCTAAATAGCTTCTCTTGATTGCCCTGTAATGTCAGATCCAGTTCCCTTGGGTTTAATTGATGGTTTAACTGGCTTAATTGCTGGTTTTCGCTCTTATCAGTTTTTTTTAACAGCAAAATACCTCCGGAAAGAAAAAGATTAAGAGAGGAGATCAATACTTAGAACTCCCACCTAATGGAAGCTGAAATAGACATCTAGGGTCAGAAAGGGGCAGAACGGGTAAGCCACGAATTATATGAATTATTTTATTTTCCCCTTTTCAAATCCCCACCTCTCTCTGTTCAGCACAACTCCATGGTGCTATCTTCACTTATATTTCCAGATGAATACCAACCACAGATACTACTTTTCTTCTTTATCTAAAGAGAGATTTGCTGGTCAGGGATTACCATAAAATAAGAACATAAATTTCCAAGGTGGTGGCTGTGCTAGTTTGTTGCAGTAAAAACACTAAAGAATCTTGTAATACCCCAAAGAATGCCAATTTTATTTAGCACAAGACCTTCATGGACTGCAGCTCATGTCTTCGGATACATGGAGTGTAGAGGCTACTGAGGCTACACTTTTATGTTTCTGAGGAACAGACGCTACACTCCATGCCTCTAGAGCAGCCTCTACCTCTAAAAAGTGATCATCTTTAAGGCGCCACAAGGCTGTTTCTTAGAAGGAGATAAGAAGAGCCCTGTTGGAGCAGACCAAAGGCCTACCCAGTCCAGCATTTGATTCATACATTGAGCAATCTATGGGAAGCCCATCATCAGTAAAAGATGCTACTGGATACGTATGGCCCACCAATTGATAAAACAGAGGAAAACAAGGAGAGGGTTTACTGTTTCTAAAAAAGTATATCATTTCTCTCTTTCCTTCTTTGCTTTTAATCAGAAAGAACTCACTAGATCATATAGCAGCAGAACCTGTTCCTAGTGCGAAAGCGTCTGACAGGGCCATAAATGTAATGAAATCTTCCTGCAAGACAAATACTCTGTTATTAACTGTGGTCCTGAGCATAATCCTTCCAGGTATGCTTTTGCCATTTTCCACTTCTCTTCATTTCTCGTTAACTTTAGTGATGACACAGCAGGGATACAAAAAGACAACACTTTTCTTTCCACTCATAGGAAGATGCTTCCTACTGAGTCAATCAGTGCGTTCAAATGCCCCAGTATTGTAAACCTGACTGACAGGAGTTCTTGAGGATGTCCAGGAGGTTCTTTCCTAGCCCCGTCTGACGATCCAGAGAGGATTTTCCCTAGCCCTATCTGGAGATCCCTGGGGTCTCCCATCTAAATACTGACCAAGCCTGGCCCTACTTAGCTTCTGAAATCAGAAGAGATGAGGTATGATCAGGGTAGTACTGTGGAAACCACTCTTCTATGGTCTTTCGGCAAACCAAAGTGGAGGGTGGAAACATTGGGTTTTTGTTTTTTTTAAACTGATCTTCTCAGACTTCCTTAGCCAGCGCATTATACTTGCTGGGGATTCTAGGACTTGTATTCCAAAAAGGTAATTGTTCCAAGTTCTGTGGAGGAATCAGGCATCTCCCTTTATGGAAAGATGGTTAACCTACTGAAGGGGGTAAATGCCTCACCGTTCTTCCCATGGGAATTCAGCAAAAGAGCAGGGCCCATCCTTTATGGCTGCCTTTTCACCATGTTGAAGTAAGGAATTGAGGGTCACCACTTGAGCATCCTACAATGCCCCAGATTTTGTGGAAATTTTGAATGAATGTACGAATCACACTGCCACCACCGTGAAGAAAATTGAGGGTCACCACTACAATGCCCCAGATTTTGTGGAAAATTTGAATGAAGGTACGAATCACACTGCCACCACCGTGAAGATCAGTAAACCCATCAGGGCCATCAATGTAAGGATGGAGGAATCATCAACAAAAGGAGACTTTGCCCAAGACTTCCTTCACACCAAGAGCCCATGTGTCAAGAAAGGAGATGTGCAAACTTCTTCCTCTTATGAAATCCTAGAACAAGAGTTGTGAATACACACAGTCCTTTTAATAGGGTTGGACTGCAGTCCCCATCATCCACCAACTAATGGCCCTATTATTGAGGTTAGTTAAAGCCCACCAACATTGGAAGCAGAGGAAGGAAGAAACACATCTGACCCATTCACAGTTTCTTTCATATTACATGGGACTCCCACACGCATCTGTCTCAGTTTTTCTTTAATTCAGGTACATATATACACTGAATGCCCATGCAAGTTGCTGGGCCCTTCCATTCATTTCAATGCCTTTCGAATCTGCTGCTTTGTTTAAAATAAACCAGAGTGTGGAAAATTACCTTTGAAAATTTATGTGTTGCTCTTAGTGGTCACAGTGTTTGAAAAGCAACCTGCTGATATGACTAGTTGTACTGTTAGAAAGTAACTTGTTGCATGATTTGTTACACTCTTCATTAACTCCTCATTCCATCGTTTTCTCAAAAAAAATTATAAGAATGAAGGATCCCGTGGGTATGGGGGTGCACTGTGTTTTAGATTGTATTAGTAAGCATTTTGTATTGTTGTATTTGTTTTGGAAATTAATTTTTTAAAAAAGAATGAATTTGCAAAATTCTTCGCAAAGTTACTCTAAAATGCTCTGAAAAGTAACTTTTTTAAAAAACTAAAAAAAGTTGCTTGTCATACCACTAAAGTAACTTTGTTCCCACTCGATTGTGAAATGTAACTTCTTTATGCCCTTATTACAGAAAAGCAGTGGTAAATAACTATGACACTTCCAAACTGGGAGTTGGCTGCTTTACCCAATATACAACAGACATGCATTCCCAATGTGATGTACAGAGTATTCCCTTGCCAGATAAAGACGTATCCATAATTGGCAGGAAGAGCTTTACTATGAAAGAGAGGAAGATGAGAACCATTCATAATATTCTGACTTACAGTGGTCCTTCCAAGCTTTTCTAAGTATAAAACACTCAGACAGGTTTGCCAGCTTCTCCTCCTGGTGGTCCTCTGAGACCATGCAGCTTGCCCAAGGCAACACAAGATGGCAGGGCAAGTAGCCTCACCAACCACACACACTCTGAGCGATCTTGGCTAGCATTTCTCCTGGCAGGCACAGTGAAGATTTGAACCTGCTGAGCTATATTAGCCCCATGTTTAGCAACAGCTGGTGCGAGTGACGTAAAGGTATTTATAGAATCATCATCCATATCTTCTTCTTCTTCAAGAAAAGTGGATAATTGTGCAGGACTTTTTTAAAATGCTAGTTTAAAACTCATGTCTTGTTGGAAGAGATTAAACTTTATGTTTAAGAAAAGTGGGTAAATGTGCAGGAATTTTTTAAAACGCTAGTTTAAAACTTATGTCTTGTTGGAAGAGATTAAACTTTATGACCCTATACATTCTTTCAATTTCTCTGTTTTTATTATCTTAACCTGATAGGGTAGAAATGGAAGAATCAGGGTGTTTAGCATAACAAAGATTCCAATATAAATTGTCCTTTGGAAATGCTGATGGAAAAAATTAGACCAGCAAACCATTAATGCACAGAGTAATACATGTAATGATGACTAATTAGTACAGCAACAACTGCCTGCTGGGGTCTGTTTCTTGAGAAGAATATAAAAAAGGCAGATGGGGAACAGAAGTCGCCACATTATCTTTCCATTTCCGAAGGACCTTTGAAAACAGTTAGCAAGGTCATAGAAACTCTGTGGAACTTTTCATCTTCTGCAAAGTTTTACTGCATTCAGATCTTGAAAACCTAGTCACAGAACCATAAAAGTGTAGCATTGGATGGCATTTTAGATGTCATTAAGTCCAACCCCTTGCCATTGCAGAAGTTCCACAGCTAAAAAGTTCCTAATAGATGGCCATTTAAACTGTTTGAAAATATCCAGTAAAGGGCCGCCCATCGGTAACCCATTCCATGATTACAATGGCTCATAATTAGGAAGTTCCTTCTAATGTTTAGTCAGAACCTCTTTCCTTGTGAACTGAATATATGAGTTTAGACACTGCCCTTTAGAGCAGAGGAAAACAAGCTTTCTCCATCTTCCGTCTTATAATCCTGCTCAGTCTGTTAACACAGTCAAGGTTGACTAGGACCGTTCATTGATATGTCAGAACAATACATATGCAAACTGTTGTAAGCAGTCTCCTGTATGTACGGCTTTGGTGGTTGCAGAGGAATAGTAAATCATATGCTTCACTGGCACAAAGACCAACTTCACTCTCCAACCTCTCTTATGGAAAATATATCAGGTAACAGAACTGGGACTCTGAAGAACCACCATCAGCCGGAGATGGCAGTAGTACTAGAAGAAAAAGACTAACATGGTGACTCAATGGAGGACAGTTTAACTCCTGAGAGATGGATCTTAGATCTTAAAACTGCAGAGCTGGAAGGGCTCTACGGATCATCGAGTCCAGCCATAGCATACGTATCAGCACATGAATGGAATGGCAGGATCAAAGGGCGAGGGCTATTCAGATCAAGGGGAAGGGCTCTGTTCTAAGAGGTGGAGCTCCACAGGGATCAAGGGGTATAGCCACGTTCCCACACTTGGAATCAATGATACCTGGGTTGATCACATTATAAAAGTACCATCTTTGCAAAGGTGGGCCAACTCCCATCAGCCGAGGTCAGCACAGTAATGTTGAGAACTGAAGTCCAACCACATCTGGAGAACCTAGCCAGATGTTAACTTTGCTCTTATACTTTTAGGCCAGCCGGCCTTGCTGATAGTGGCAGAGGTTATCAAGGGTGCAGTGCTGAATAATAATTAGTAATTAAAATAGTTAAAGGGGCTGAAGTTGTGTAGCTGTTAATTGGTTGTCTCCAATACCTTTTTCCTGTAAAAGGGGAAAATAATATCTGCTCCTTCAGCGGTGTAGCTGATACTGCCCCTCTCTCTCTGTTCTCAGTGTCCTCACAGTGAAGAAAATGTTTATTTTGCCACATGTTCGATCTGGATTTTTATGAAGAAACTCTTGCTGATACCCAGGACCAGAGAGTCACCGGTAAAAGGTTGCCAGTCTAGGTCTTTCTACCTGATGAAGATGCTTGGTCTTTTCTCTCTCTGATTCCCTTCATCTGATGCGATTGTCCCCTCCGTTCCATGTATTTCCCTAGAAAAAGTCAACAGTCCAGGAATCCCATTGATAACACTGGACTACACTGAGGAACAATCATAGAGCGCTCTTCATTCCCCACCACACAAATGTGTAACATGGGGCTGGCATAAGCCATAAGCTGCAGCCCTGCCTTTGATAATATGGTTAAAATAATGATGATGCTATTATATACCAGACTTCAGATCTTATTCATGCAAATTTGCATTGCGCCAAGTTTATCTTATTATTATTTTTTAGGTGTTGACACCTTGAAAATATTTGCTGAAACATGAAATCACAGCTGCCTGCCTGGCTGGGGAGGGTCTCCTCCAGAGCCATGCAATGTAACCAATTCCGGCAGCTGAACTCTCAGAGAGCGACGGGAGAGTCAAGTTGTCCTGGGCTGGATCAGGCTAAATAAAGTCACTTCAAAGTGTGGTATGCCATTTAGAATAATCCTTGTATGTACATGCAAACAGGATAAGACACCATACTGCACTTCTAAGTAATCTATGCAGTTCCATTAACTGTTGTATAGAAGTATGTTCCATTCAATCCAATAGGACTTGCTTCTAAGTAGACATGCACATGCAGTACAAAGCTAGACTTTGGAATGGGTCACACCTCCCAGAAGCAGTCACCCAACTGGGAGTGTGGCTATGCTGACCAGGGATTCTGGGAGCTAATTGTCCAGAAATCAACTTCAGTGAAAGATAATAGGATTTCCCTGTGCTATGTTCAGGAGGGAAGAGTTAGTATGTTGCATGGGCTGAAGCTCTTGGCTACAGGGCCAAGGGCCAGGTGTTCAAATCCCCATTGTTCCTCCCAGGAGAGGAGCCAGATGACATCACCCAGAGCATGACTGGTGGGATTACATGCTTGCCACCTGTGCAAATATGACCAAGCTGCAGACCAAGCACTACCAGAATGGAATGATAAACCACATTGGAGTACTCAATATCTAGAATCAGAACCTGTATGGTGTAGTAGAGAGAGTGACAGCCTAGGACTCAGGAGGACTGAGTTCTAAAACTCTGCTTGGCCATTGGGGGCAGTGCCAATGCTAAACCACTCCTTAAATATCTTAAAGAGCCTCGTGGTGCAGTGGTTAAACTGCTGTACTGCAGCCAAAACTGTGTTCAGGGCCCCGGGGTTCAATCCCAGGTAGCCGGCTCAAGGTTGACTCAGCCTTCTATCCTTCCGAGGTTGGTAAAATGAGTACCCAGCTCGCTTGGGGGGGGGGCAATGTGTAGCCTGCATAATTAACTTGTAAACCACCCAGAGAGTGCTTGAAGCACTATGGGGCAGTATATAAGCAGCACGCTTTTCTTTTCTTTTTTTGGTTTTAAATATGGCCAGGGCAAGCTAAACTTACATTGAACTTTAGGGTCAATGTAAATTGGATGCTACTTGAAGGCACCTGAGAAACAAATACTTAGCCATGGAAGGGCCACCATTAGTTAGAATTGACTTGACAGCAGATAATAATTATTAATTTTATGATCAAGAGATGTCAAGCAACTAGGCAACAAGTAAACAGAGTTTAAATTGAGATCTACAGCCCTTCATGGATTCTGACATTATTAACCAAAATCATATTTTACCTCCTCCATTCTTGCCACAGAGGTATGGGAAGCGCCAAACATTGCCCAGGCCGATGGCATATCCAACGCAGGAGAGCAGGAAGTCAAATTTGCCTTTCCAAGAGCCTCTGTCAGGGATCTCTTTCTTCTTCTTCTTCTTGGTTTCTTCATTTCCTGAGGCAATGACTTTAGGTTCTACAAAGGCAGCCTCCTTCACCTCAGACGGCAAGTTTAGCTCCACTGACACGGTGTCGATCTTTCCCATCACTGCTCACATTTACTTCATGGAGAAGGGGAAACTGTACCCTCAGAAGATCAGAATGGGTGGATAAGAAGACAGAACAAATTCTTTGTGGGTACCTGAAAGGTGTAAAACATGTTAGCATTTTGCAGGCAACCAGCTCTAAACAGGGCTAGACTTCTTGTGAGTTTTACCGTATTTTTCGCACCATAAGACGCACTTTCCCCCCACAAAACAGGGGAGCAAAGAAAACAGATTATATTTTCCTGTTTTCTACAACCGGCTCTAAAGAGGGCTAGACTTCTTGTGAGTTTTAAATAAAATGCACTAACCACCACAATCTTATGGGGTGTTTGTATAAGTCTTATGTTACCTGCTATGGCCAACTGAGGCTAAATGATGGTAAATAAAATGCAGTAACCCCCACAATCTTATGCGGTGTTTGTATAAGTCTTGCATTACCTGCTATGGCCAACTGAGGCTAAATGAGCGCCAGGGTATGTCTCAACCATATTCCTGATTACACACCCAACTATACAACCAAGATGCTCCCCACACAGATAAAATATTGTTTTAGACAGTCTGGTGCAGCTTTGCTCATGTCAGAAACTCTATAATTAACAACTGTACAACAGGCAAATGTTAAGTTGGTACTGGGGGGTACCTGAATACGTTTGTCCAGTTTTCTTTGGTATTTAGGAGTGTTTTTGTATAAGTTCAGCTCATTTCAAAATACTATTTTTGACCTATGGCTTGGGTCTAGCTGTCTCAAGGACTGTGTCTCCCAACATGAACTTCCCTGGGTCGTAAGGTTATCAGAGGTAACCCGCCTCTTGATCTCACCACCTCCACAGCTACATCATGATCAGGACATGAGAGAGGGCCTTTTGAGTGGCCGCTCCCAGGCTAGGAAGCTACTGTACCCACTTGTCCCCCACTGTCCTTCTGCCAGTCTTTTAGCATAGAACAGTTGCTGAGAAAGGAACTTTAAACAGAGGATGATGGAGCGTTTACTGTTTTGTGTGTTGCAGATCTTTTAAACTGTTTACATTTTCTGAATTTTAAAATTTCATTGCCTGTGCAATTGCAGTTTAATATTATGGTGGGACCTTGTTGCAATTGTTTTTTATTTATTTTGTAAGCCACACTGGATCCCTACATTGGCAGAAAAGTGGGACAGACGTAAATACACAAATAAGCAAAACAAGAGCTACAAGCAAACAAACAAACAGGCACCTCTATGTCCCTATACAGTCATGCTAATCCTGGTCACTCTTTGACCGGCACATGGGGGAGAGGAATCTGAGCATGGATCTTCCTGTAAGAATGACCAGGGCAAGCTAAACTTCTCTCCCCCCCCAATGTCAACCACATGGACGGTGCTTGAGAGATGCCAGAGGCACCAACTTTTACATGCAAAACCATGCTGTGTTATATAGTCCATTCTCTGGGAAGGAAATAGGTTGACAGCTGTCAAATACTTTAAAAGATGTTATAAATAAGAGGAAGGGTCATGGTTTGGTTCCCCCCCCCAACAAGAAGAAGAAATAACGTTTCTGTTGCTGGAGGGTGGCCTTCAGCTAAATATTAAGGGAAAGTTGTTAACGATCAAAGAAATGTTCATTGTGTTGCACTGTACGGAAGAGCTGGAAAAAGATGCAGACAAGGACAAGTGAAACGGTTGTGGAAGTAAAACTGTTCTGCTGTGAGAAACGGAAAGCCAGATGTAGGGATTCTTAGCGCAGAAGAACGTCAGACAATGTGGCTCTTGGGGTTGCCTTTTTTTAAACTACAAACTGGTCAAAATGGGACAAAGCCATACTTTGCGAGTGAATATATGAAGCAAAGTGGAATCGCCCCTTTTACACTTCTGATACTTTTGCAAGCCACTTCCTCATTCAAAACATGCTTGGGAAAGTAGCCATGGCCATGAAGGCTGGGGGATAGTGGGAGTTGTAGTCCCTAATAGTAACCCTTCCATACTCTGCCCAAGTGGTGCTGTTGGCGGTAGTCGGCACCAGGGGGGCCTTGAGGATAGCCAACTCCAAAGCCACCCTGATGTTACTCATTGCTTTTATTCTAACATAAATACAGTACTTCTATGTCCTTCTCATTTTTCCCATCTCAATTTGAAAACCGGAAAACTTAACAAATACTTGCTAACTGAATCGTTTATATAAATCGCCCTTCGTTTTCATTCTGAGTTAGGTTAAATTATTTAATACAGTACCAAACTTTTAGGTAATGCAATAGCAAAGTAATTTTCCCCTTTAAGGAAAGATTCATTTTTGTGATTTATCTGTGGCCATTAAATAAGTATTCTAAAAGCAAACATAGTTTTGCATACTTCCTCTCCCACTCCCCTTTGGCTAAAATGCTTCCAACAAACAGAAACGCAACTGGCTATGTTACAGTGATTGACTAGAATGAAAGGATCCTGATCTAGTCTTTGAAAGCAGATAAGGGGGAAATGCCCATTTGCCATTAAAAGTGCAAATATTCTGGATCCAGGATCAGCAATGGAGGCACAACAACTGGTCAAGGATGAGAAAGATGAGTTTGGAAAGGAGGTTAAAAGGAAACTCTTGTACAGAAAACTTGGAATTGTACGTTTTTGGACTACAGTTGGCCATAGCGGCTGGATTGTTCTGGCAGCTTTAGTCCAAAAAAGTAACTTTTCCAAGCTTTGTGTGCAAGAGAAGCATACACACAGAGACACTTTCATCAGGGAAACTAAAGTCAGGAACCCAAATGGAAAAAAAAAGTATGGAAACAGGAGAGCAGAGAATTAAGAAGTCCAGAAGCAGAGTGACTTAAGGAAAGAAGAATATAAGAGGCAGAGAGCAGAGGAATAGATGGATAGAAGAAGTAAGAGCCTCGTGGCACAGTGGTTAAAACGCTGTACTACAGCTAAAACTGTGCTCACGACCTGGGGTTCAAATCCCAGGTAGCCGGCTCAAGGTTGACTCAGCCTTCCATCCTTCCGAGGTCGGTAAAATGAGTACCCAGCTTGCTGGGGGGGCAATGTGTAGCCTGTATAATTAAAAAATTGTAAACCGCCCGGAGAGTGCTTGTAGCGCTATGGGGCGGTATACAAGTCCAATAAATAAATAAATAAATAAATAGAAGAGAGAAGAACATCTCCCTGGTGTGGACTGCGTCCCCAGGTAAGCGATGTTTCATTGTGAGCTATGGAACGAGAGTACCCAGGGCTCCAGAGACAGAATTGTTGAGACCCTGATTTACTCCAAAGACACAAAACAATCTCACAATTCATAACAGTCTTATCAACTGACCGCGATGTGAAGCAAACAATAGTGGCTGCTGGCAAGCTGGCTGTCATTAAATTGCAGGGCAGAAACAAACATATAATTGAGTGAACGAGACCCTTAATTCTATAATGAAATGATGGTAGTTCTAGTGCTACCTGTCTGGCTAGGAAAAATAGTCGTCTTGCTAAATTATAAGTCTGCCAAAGGGGCAAACATATTTCTCATAACAAATCTTCGTCTTCCCACCCACCCACATTTTTTCTTCTAGCTAAAGTCATTATACATTCTTGACAATTTTGCCTTTCTTTGGCATTTGAATAGCTGGTTTATGATTCTTAGTGCCAGAAGCTGAAAACACATTTTAAATAGTCATTTCTCACAAACATTGAGCTTCTAATGGTTCATTTAAAACAAAGCAAAACAAAACAAGAACACAACAAAGATTATTCCACAATTAGACCAAGGCTTCAGTACAGAAAATGAATGGGAGAAGCAGAAATAGTTCAGGCAAAAGCTTTGAGACTCCATATGGGCAATGCTGTCTGATAAGAAGAGAGCTCGACCAAGAATTTGGCCCTCAACTAGTCACTTGTTTACATCCTTCCCCACTATAGTAAGATGTATGGTATTACTATTTAAATTATGTTAATTCAGTATAGATTTTTGTAAATGTGTTCTTTTCCATTTGGCTTTAAAGTATTTGTGTTATTAGTGCTGTGCTACAACACAGTCATTACACTGTCTTTTAATGATGTCTTAATTTTTGACATGAGCTGCTGTGTAGATCAATTGATGATGGAAAGGCAGCAGATGTGTCGATCAATTGATGGAAAAATGGGATATAAATATTTTTAATCAAGTTAGTAAATCAATCAATCAATTCTGAGGTTCATTTAAGGCCAAAGTTCATTCTGGGACAAGAAATAGTGAACATGGCGTTATTGTGAGCCTTGACAACTGATTCAGATACTGAATGTGTGTTTACGAATAAACAGGGTTTGTGGAAAGGGTCATATACTCATCCTGGTAGGGTTCCAAAGCTAGCCCTAAATATTTGCTGCCTAAGGCACAGTGGCAAAATGTGTCCCTTACAAAAAGCTCAAACTGAGGAACAGTAACAGGCAAAGCCAGCCAAATTATTTGGCCCCTGAGACCAGCACTTTCACAAACACTTCTTCCCATTCCTGGTTGTAAAAATCCCATAACTTAAATTAAACAGGTTAACAGTTTGCTCGCCTTGGGTGGTATTGAAACTCTGCTGCCTGAGGCCCTTGCTTTACTTTGTGTTACCACAGGCTTGACCTTGCAGAACTGTTCATACGAGTTTGCCACAGGGCTTCTCCTAGGCGGAAAGAAGAGTCAGCATCCTGGCCCTGAAGTTACAGGATGATACCCAGGTGATTCACTCTGCATAAAAACAGCACAAAGGCCACATCAGTTGACCCAGCACAGCAACATTATTACTGTTCCCCTTTTCATGAACTGTAGCCATGGTTTGTGAACAAAGCCCTTTCTAGATTTTAGTACTTCCTGCTGCCACCCTACCTCATCATGCCCCCACCCAACCTTTAAGAAACATCTCTTCCTGGGCTCCCAGCTTTTGCATTTCCCTAACCTGAAAGCTTTCCCCTGAAGTTA